ACCTATAATCCCCTGACCAGTTCCTTCTAGAACCTTCCTCAGAGACTGTCCTTTCCTGCTTCAGGGTTGGGCACCAGGGGTCAGTCTTAGCTGTATCTTGAACTTTATATAAATAGAATTATATCTGCCCATCCGCATATATGTATATATATATTTTTGTCATTTTGTGAAAATAGGCTCATTACATAAGCTCTATTCTGAAACCTTCTTATTTAACCATATGTGATGACTGCACATCTGTGACTGTAAATATGGATCTTCCTTATTTTCTTGTGATGGCATGGTATTACATGGTTCAAAACCATGTACTTAACCATCATATTTAGGTTGTTTCCATTTTATTTGGAATTATAAACTGCTTTTATACACAGTAGCTGAAGTCTTTTGTGCTTCCTTAATTGTTTCCTTAAGATAAGTTCCCAGGAGTGGGTAGCTGGTTCCCAGTTGCCTGCTGCCCAGCATGTCCTTGCTGTGTCCAGCCCTAGCCACCTTCTCCAGGGGCTTCCAGCCTCCTCACTGTTGGACCTCACTGTGGGCTTCCATCTGCTGAGGTTGGGACCCCCAAGCTGACCCGACCCCTTCTCGACGCCACTGACCCCTTATGCCTGGGCCATGGGCAAGTACTAATCTGACTCTTTTATTTTCTAACAGCGCTGTGTTGTGCTGCGTTTTCTGAAGTTTCCTCCAAGTAGGAAGAAGGTAAGATTGGTGGCATTACCACCTAGTCATTGAAACAATAATTTAGGAGAACTTTGATTTTTTTTCCTGATGCAGAAATATTAATGCTAATTGTAGAAATTTAAATAATGTCACAAGGATTCAGTGTACGAAGAGCTGTGTCCATCATTCCTGACGTAGAACTTGCTGGGCCCCAGTGCTTTGACCCATGGGTTACCATGTGTCACAATGGAGGGTCCTGCTTAGAGGGCCCTGCTTGTGGTGAGGACCCCAGGACCAGGTCTCAGCTTTGCCTTGCCAAGTTCCTTAGCACCTGCTGCCTCTATTTCCTCATCTATGTAATTGTATCAGTGAAAATAGAGACCATGACAGTGTGGTAGACTATCTGTGTTAAAAGTCACAGTGGGCATGGCTGACCCGTGGCTCACTTGGGAGAGTGCAGTGCTGATAACACCAAGGCCACGGGTTCAGATCCCTGCATAGAGATGGCTGGTTAGCTCACTTGGGAGAGTGTGGTGCCGACACCACCAAGTCAGGGGTTAAGATCCCCTTACCGGTCATCTTTAAAAAAAAAAAAGTCACAGTGGGCAACGTCAGATGGGTCTTTGGGTTTCCATTTGCTGAGTCATCCCAGCAAAATGCCACAGACTGCCCATGCTCTTGACCAGCAAGTTACCACCTGTCTCCCTTTACATGTAAATCTCAGCTGGCCGCAGGGGTGAATACCAAGGAGTGGGGGCTCCCTGTGTTCTTTCTCTGCCTCCCATTTCAGCATGTAAGTCCCCTCAGGGAGGCTGAGGTGCTCACCCAGCTCCTCACGTTGGCCAAGCAGGGTCGTGGGCTGCCCCACAGTTGGGGGCAGGTGGATCATGTCTGAGGGCCAGTGACAAGAGTGGATGGGCTTGAGACCAGGGTATAGGACTGATGAGTCACCGTCTAGTTGGGGTTCCTGGGAGTGTCTGAGGGTGGAGGTCACAGAAAGGGAGTCTAGGGGATGTTGTCGGGTGGCGATGGCAGCCCAGCTCGTGAGCATACACAGCGCACAGCACAGGGTTTGCTTCATGGAAGGAGAGAGGGGGGCCATGGGAGAGAGTGTGCATGTAGCTGTTGGGTGGGAGCCGTAGTGAGACATGGTGGTGGTGTGCAGGCTGAGGACGGGAGGGCCTGAAGCTTCCTATGGTTCTTGTCTCAGCTGGTGAAGAGAAGCGTCTGGTTGTTCTGTTTCTGTGGAAGGCATCCCATGGAAACAGCTTCCGGTGGCTGCCTCCAGCCTCCTCTATCCCCTTCTTCCCCCATCAGGGACTGCAGAGCCCAAACCACAGCCACCTCGTCTCCCCAGGGGCCTGGCCTCTGTGGACCCTGCATCAGGTTTTCTTCATTTATTCTATAAATGGCATAACGCAACACAGCTACATTATCAGTGGACTCATATAGTAGTCACTCTTACATTGAGCAGAAGGGCTTTTTGTCAGAAGCTGTGACCACAGCTGGTCAGGGCCGCTGGGTATTTCTGGGGTTTTCTGCCAGCTTAGTTCCGATGTGATCCTGTTGCATGAGCCCCAGGACATCTTCATGTGCCGCGGCTGCGCAGGGCAAAGCTGGGTACAGGTGGTGGGTTCTCCAGGGGCTACGGTGTATTGGTGCCCACTCAGTCCTGGGACATTCCCGAGTGGGAGCTGGGTGCCTCTAGGCCTGCCCTGGATGACACCCCAGCACTGGTAGACCCACAGACACAGTGAGAACCTACCAGGCCAGCCTTTTGGACAGCTTTCTCTGAGAACAGTCTGCCATGGACCCTTAGGGCCTCTCACTTTTGGGACACGTTGGGGTCATGGAGGTGATTCCTGTCTCACCCAGGTTCACCAGATTACTGACTCTTTAAGAACCTCTGGGGAGAAAATATTTTATTCTCCAGTTAGAGGCTAAAGAGTAAAACTGAATACTCAGTAACTTTGGACGTGAGAGATTTTCAGTGGCATTCCTCAGAAGGCACACGTGGGAGCTGCTGTGTTCCATTCCTGGGGTGGGAGGGGGACACGGAGGAGGGCAGGCAGGGGCGGGAGTGTGGCCTGCAAACTGTGACCTCTCAAAGTCATGGGAGAAAAATGAAAGAAAAAAGAAAGAAAAAACCAAAGTCATAGGCGGCCGGGGAGGGCTTGGGAGGGTGGCAGGGGAGAGATGCTCCAGTGGGGACCCTGGGGATTTTCCTCTGAATTTGAGGGCCACTGCCAGGTTCTGTTTGTGACTTGGACATGGCCCCTGCTTGTGACAGGTTTGTGGTGGTTTTCGTGTCCTGCTCCCTTCAGCGGGGGCTCTGCCTGGAAGTCCCATCACTGAGGCCACCCTGTGCTTGTCTCTTGCAGACTTCAGAAGAGATATTTCAGCACTTGCAGAACATAGTGGACTTTGGCAAAAACGTCATGAAAGAGTTTTTGGGGGAGAACTATGTTCATTGTGGGGTAAGTGATTTTTATTCATGTTGTCTAATTTCATTGGCATGCTGTGTATACGATACCAACCTTTCGATGATCTTGTGGAGCTTTGTGCTTAGTGACAACCCTCCTGCTGTGAGCGTCTCCAAGCGCCTTTCTCATCTGCTGCGCGTGCTGTGGAGGAGCAGACACTGCAGTTGCAGCTGGGACATGTGAGGCTTGCAGAGACCATGGGTGCTTCCTGCTCACCAGGACCCCCGGGTCTCTTCTACCAGCCCCCTGGAGGCTTCTGCTTGGTGAGGGGTCTTGAGCAAGAGTCCAGCAGGCCCAGATCCCAGAGGGCAACTTTGTCCTCTGTGCTGGCGGCACCTTTGAAGCAGGTCAGGTAACAAAGGGATCTCATGCAGAAGGCTATGCAGGGCATGGGTACTGGGCCGTCCTGGGGGCTGCTCACCACACCCAGTGAGGGCCCCAGATGCCCAATTTCATTTTGAAAGCTGGGGCTTAGAACACAGCTCCAAGCCTCTTGGCATTGCTGCCTGTGCTGGACCTGTGTTCTTGGATATGGTCTGCAGGAACAGGCCCACTGGTCTGACCAGGCTGTCTCTTGAGCTGAGTTATGTCCTGGGGCCTGGAGAGGCCCCAAGTCCTGCCCTCCTATGGCTGCTGAAGACGTGTCATGCCTCCTTTGGCCTGCCTACTGTGCTGTCCTGGTGTTGGGGACGTTTGGAGGTCAGGGTGCCCCTTTGAGGAAGATTCATGTAGTTTTTCTACAGGGCATGGCCATTAGATGGTGTCTGTGCCAAAGGCCAGTTTCCTCCCCAAGGGGAGAGTGTTCTCAGAGGCGTGATCCACCAGAAACACTGCCACCCTGTGGCCCTGGTTCGTTGTGCCAGGTGAGAGTGTTTCTGGACTTGTGAGTTTTAGACCTCTCCCCGGAGGGAGGACTTGGCAGCAGTGGCCCTTGGTGGCCAGGGAGGTGGAGGTAGATGTGGGGGTCCCAGCAGCAGCAAGCCCAGTGGGGCAGGCAGTGGAGATTTCTCTGTTGGGGAGACAGGATCAAAAATATCTCTAGCATCTCTGGCAGTGAGCACTCAGGCTGTGGGTTTGGTTCTGTTTGTCCTCGGTGTGAAGGTCACAGTAAGTGAACCCAGTCAGTGGGGCTTGGCTCACAAGGTCACCTGTTCGTGTCTCTCCTGTGTTAAGACACCCACCAAAGGGAAACAAAGCTTACTTTTTCTCCAGGTGAGCATGTCCTGACAGCACAGTGGCTGGGCTGGGACATGGTAGAAAGTGGGCGCAGAGCTCGTCTCTGGGCAGGTGTGTGTAGTTGGGGTGGCTGCATTGGCCACATGAGGCCACGCCAGGAAGAAGGACAGGTCAGTAAGTTAGGTAAAGTGGAGTCCTCGCCAGAGCACTTCCATCTTGTTTGTCCTAGGTCGAGTCACAACCAGTCCCTGTGATGAGACCACAAGAGGGCAACAGCCACAGCCTGGCTCCTGGCCCTGCCCCGTGGGTGTGAGGCTGGTCTGGGCCTGTCTCCGTGGAGCTGGAGAGTTTAGGGAATGGGGAGGGCAGATACTGCTGCCGCTGTTTCTTCTTGAGTACTAGAGGAGCCTGACGGTTTAGAAGTCCACCTCACTTCTGTGGACTGCATCACCCCGAGGCTGGATGCCACCTAGGGCTGGCCTCGACCCCCTGTTTGATCTTGGTGCACTGGATGTGTTGGCTGGGCCAGGCATGCAAAGAGTGAGGGGATAGCCAGGCTGGCGGCTCCTTGTCCTTCTGAGCAGCTGTCCCTTTGTTCCTTCAAGGGTGATGCCATGCCTAAATTGTCACTCATTTCAAGACCTGATTACAGCTCTGAGAGGGGAATTCTGTGGGCTTTGGTGCTGGTTCTTCTTAGGTGAATTCTTTGTGCAGGAGCTGGTTGTCTCCATCCTCACAGGATCGGGGGATGGTGTGGTCCACACCTGGCAATGTCATCAAATCTTAAGGAGGATGTCTACTGTAAACATTTTATTTTGACTTAAAACAAAGATCGACTCACCAAACTCAGTAATCTAAAGTTGTTTAGAAGAAACCCGAGTCTGCCTTTCACCTGGGTGACCGTGGGCGGATAGCAATGTGGAAGGTTGTCCATTGCGTGGCCTGAGACCCGTGTGGCTGCTGTGTCCCCCAGCTGTGTACAAGCTGTTTCTAGAGGGAGGATCTCATTGTAGTTCTCGGTTACTGTTCTCACGCACAGCAGCCAGAATCAGCATCTGTTCCCTTTGTGCTTTTGGTTTCTTTAAAGTGGAGCAAGAACATGGACTTTTGGGAGATGATTCAAATTTTGAATTTTTGAATTTGTACGTTTCTCTTCTCTATTGTTTCACCTTACCTAATTCAGTACTAAGTTTTTAGTGACTCACCTTGTATCAGTTTATAGCATGTTTAGGTCAATGATAAAATCACAAGTGAAACTGGCATAGCAGGCTGGGCACAGACGACTGGAGCAGGTGGGCAGCAGCAGGCATGGGTGTGATGTGGCAGGGTGGAGAAGGCGCACTCTCTGCAGGCAGGATTCCAGCGTTCTTGTTATAGGCAGGTCTCCTGTGTCCCTTGGGACTTTTTCAGAAGTGACAATTCTGCCACCCTGGAAACATGAGAGTCCAGGGAAGATGGTGAGCAGCGTGGCCTAACTAAAAACCCTTTTATTTGGGAAATTGCAAAGAAACAGCTGAGGGGAGACATGCTGGGTGCCAGCCAGGCTGTGTCCTCCGTGGCTGATGCATGGGCCGACTTGCCCAACATTCATGATTCACGACCCTGAGCTGCTTTGCAGGTGGGAGCGTGAGACTCTCTGGTTGTCCGAGGGGTCAGCGAGGGTCTTCCAACTGCCTCAGGCCCTTGCTCTGTGTCCACAGATGCTGCTAGGACACGGAGGGGCCGCAGGTGGGTGCTGTGGTGGGAGACCCCAGCTGTGAGGCTGGTCACCAGCACCACGGACCCTCTGCTCTGAGGACAGCCAGCCTCCTTAGTGCATTGAGCCATTGGCATCTACTTAACCTGGATGGATTCTAAAAAAACAGGGCAACATTTATTCCTAATACCCACACACTGAATTTTTTTTTAGCTGTAAATTTTTTTTACTGTGGTAAAATGCACCTAAATGTTATCAAGTTAACCATTTTTCGGTACACAGTTCTGTGGCATTGAGTATGTTCCTGTCGTTGTATAACCCACACTGAGTGTTTCATGTTTTTTCTTACAGGAAGTTGTTCAGCTGCCTTTAGAGTTTGTGAAACAGCTTTGTTTAAAGATACAGTCTGAAAGACCAGGTAAGAGTGTTTTAACTTATGAATACTGTTTGTAATATAAAATACCTTGTTTGAAAAGTGTTTGAAATGATCACCCGTGTTAGGTACATGCAGTTTTCAGCAATTCTGTTGCTGAAAACTTCATGATCAGGGGTAGAGATACTAGGATTGTGCTGATGGGTACAATTCTGTGCGTCAGAAAGCCAGTGCAGAGCACAGGACAGTGACCAAGAGCCGATTAATAAAACAACATAATAGCAGTGGGGGGAGGGGGAGGTGTAGGGGGTGGGGGAGACTTAGGGAAGGGAAGGGTCACCGGGGGGCCTGGATAAGTCAAAAGGAAACCAGGGTGACCTGAGCCTCAGGCGGGAGGGCCTGGGCCAGGAGAGTCTGCAGCCCGGAGAGCTGCCCCCAGCCAAGGTCCAGGCCCGATGCTGTTGCCCTGGGGAAGAGGGAAGTGAGGGGAGTTCTGTGGTCATGACCTTTCCCTGATCCTCACCACCCACCTCCCCACTAGCCCCTAATTGGGAAGCTTGCCAAACCCCGGTGTCCAGGGTGTTTATTGGACTCAAACACATGAACACGGCTGGCTGCCGCATGGCTGACCTCAGTCTCTACCCCCTCCAGAGCAGGAGCTGATACCGCATGGCCCCAAGCACCCCCCAAACCACAGTGTTACTGTCATGAGTCCCAAAGTCCCCAGGTAAAGATGAGACTCTCACCATGCTCAGAGGTGATCTCCTAGGAAATGGAGACAAGGCTAGGCCTGTCTCAGATGGGGCTGATCCTCTCCCACAGGATTCTTCTGGGTCCCATGGGCTTCATCTTATTTCTTGTACTGACCCTCAGGTGTGGCTCTTGCTGTTTTCCAGAATCTCGCTGTGACAAGGACCTCGACACTCTCAGTGGTTATGCTATGTGCCTTCCCAATTTAACCAGGCTTCAGACCTACCATTTTGCAGAGCACCGGCCAATTCTGTGTGTAGAGATTAAGGTGAGCGTTTGTGGAGGGAAACGATGTGGGGATGGGAAAAGGCTGGCCCTGGCTTGTGAATTGTGCAGGTCTGCCTCAAGTGTGCATTCCTGTAGAAGCGTGTTCCTGCGCAAGCGTTCTCAGAGGCCACATGGCCCTGGGCTTGGCTTTCCTCTCCCTCCAGAGCCGCCACCTGCATGCTGCCAGCTCTGGTTCCTCCCATGCTACCAGGCCCCACATTTAGGCTCGTTCCTGCGTACTGATGACAGGGGCACTGCCCTGCATACTGGGGCTGGGACAAGCCCTGGTCGAGGGTCACCAGAGGAAAGTGTAATGCCTGATCCCACCCCAACCCCCAGTTTTCTTTGGGAAGCAGCTTGTCAGGCCCCCCTCTTCCTCCATGCCTCCTCCTGGTCACGCCCTCTTGGTTGCTGCTGCTCACTGTGCTGCAGGAGCCCAGACCATGGTTGCCCCCGACTAGGGCCTCTCTGTGTTCTGCTCAGGAGGGATGACCCAGAGGCACAAAGGCTGTGACCCTCAGACACTGTGTGTGTCATGGACTGGAGGCCTGAATTGCTTATCTGAATAGCTTTCTCCTGCCCACAGCGAGGTGGCCAGCCAGTCCCTCAAGAAGCATCCCCCCACATCCTGGCCGTTGTTCGTCTCCTTCCTCCAGACCTCTGAGGTAGTGATTTCTGGGTCATGCCCTTGTCCTGAGCACTCACGCTACATGATTCTTGCGTGTAGGTGGCTGTTCTGTGTCCGCAGCCACGTTTTCAGTTCCTGACACTGACTACAGGCCTTGCATGTTGTGTGTGCTCAGAGGCCATGGCTTTTAGAAGGCAGCTGGGGTTCCCAAAGGCTCTGGGCCCCTGGCAGCTATCAGATGGGCATCTATGGGCCTCACACCAGTGTCAGTGGGAGCAATGATCCTGATTCTTGGAGCTGGTAGCCCTCAGCCTATCTCCACTCCTTAGAGTCTCCCAGTTGCATTCTTTAATGAAATCACAAAGCTGCTCTGTGTTGTACTTGTGTCAAGCCAGCATAGAGACACTACCCATCTTCCACAGTGAGAGTTCTGGCCTTAGAGTCTCCAGAGACAGAGAGGTGTTCGTACAGTGTGAGGAGGAAGCATCATTCCCACTGGGAGCTGAAAGTGAAAACAGCTTCTGGGGACATTTATACCCACATTTGAGCTCTTCATTATCTTGTAACTCGTGATAGTAGGTCTATGTAAAGGTCGGTGATTTCTCCCTAAATGTTTTTTCTTCTTTGTTTATTTTACAGCCAAAATGTGGGTTTATTCCTTTCTCGAGTGATGTCACTCATGAGATGAAGCATAAGGTGTGTCGGTACTGCATGCACCAGCACCTCAAGGTGAGAGGAGCTGACGGTGGGTGCGGGGCTGCTCGTGCCTTTGTGCACGGGAGCTGTGTGCAGGGGGACGGGGTGGAGGTGTGGCCACCTTGGGTTTGCAGAAGAGTAAAGGAAAATGTGGATGTTTAGTATTGACTTTTTATTTCACAGGTTGTTCATGTGCACCTTTTTAAAAAAAATTGAGATATAATTTACAGACCATGATGATTCAGTCTTTCAAAGTATATAATTCAGTGGGTTTTAGTCTCTTCACAAGGTTGCACAGTCACCACTTATATCTAATTCCAGAACATTTTCATCACCTCAGAAAGAAACCCTGTATCTACTAACAGTCACTTCCCATTTCCCCCTCCTACCAATCTACTTTCTTTCCCTGTAGATTTCCCTGTTCTGTACATTTCATATAAATGGAATCATAGAATATGTGGCCTTTTGTGACTGGATTCTTTGCATAATGTTTTTGAGGTTCATCCATGTTGTGCCATGCGTTAGCACTTCATTCCTTTTATATGGCTGAATACTATTCCATTGGGTGAATATGTCATATTTTGTTTATCCATTCATCTATTAAATGGAATTCCAACATATGAGTTGGTTCCACCCTTTGGCTATTGTGAATAGTGATGCCATGAACATTTGTGTACATGTACTTGTTTGAGTCCTTGTTTTCAGTTCTCTCAGGTAGATTTCTAGGAATGGAATGACTGGGTCATATCGTAATCCTATGTTACATTTTTGAGGAACCACCAAACTGTTTTCCCCAGCAGCTGGACCATTTTACGTTCCTACAAGTGATGTGTGAGGATTCCGATTTCCCAACATCCTTGTCAACACTTGTTATTGTCTTTGTGGTTGTAGCCATCCTAATGGGTGTGAGGTCGTTGCGGTTTTGACTTGTATTTCCCTAATGTTAGTGATGCTAACCATCTTTTCATGTGTTTATTGGCCCTTTTAAATCTTCTTTGGAGAAATGTCTATTCAAGTTTTCTGCCCATTTTTAAATTGAGTTTTTTGTTGTTGTTGAGTTGTGGATATTCTCTATATATTCTGGATAGTAGGGCCTTATGAGATATGTGATTTGTAGATTTTGTCTTCTATTCTGTCAGTTGCCTTTTTTCTCTGTGGATAGTATCCGATGCCCAAAAGTTTTTAATTTTGATGAAGTTCAATTTGCCTATTTTTTCTTTTGTTGCCTGTGCTTTTGGTGTTATAACCAACAAATCATTGATAAATCCAATGTCACAAAGCTTTTTCCCTGTGTTTCCTTCTAAGAGTTTTAGGTCTTATGTTTAGTTCTTTGATCCATTTAAGTTAATTTTTGTATATGGTGTTAAGTAAGCATCCAACTTCATTCTTTTGTCTGTGGAGACTCAGTTTTCCCAGCACCTGTTGAAAAGACTCTTTTCCCCCACAGGTGTGGTCCTGGTACTTTTCTTGAAGACCTTTTGGCCATATATGTGAGGGACTGTTTCTGGGCTGTCCATTCCATTCCATTGGTTTATATGTCTGTTTTTATGCCCATACCACAGTGTTTTGATTACTGTAGCTTTATAATGTATTTTGAAATCA